TGCTACCCTGACATAAGAGAGCCTGACCACATTGTATTCCACAGGGAGATACTTTCTGCTTGTTTCATATGTGTGCCTCAAATGTGCCCAAAACCCAGCAGGAAAGACTGATCAGCCGGCAACAGCAGGGTAGGTGGGCCTGTGTGCTCCTGCGAATATGTCCTCTCAACTGCAGCAGGTGAAACTCACTCTGTGACAATTACAATGATGAAGCCCTCATGAGAAGGCACTCTGTATGTACAGTAAGCAGAGCGTGACCATGTGTGTCTGAGTCATGCAAGCCTATGAGGGGAGGCTCATTTTCAGATTCCCCACCTCACACACATACACACACACACAGCCTTCAAGACCTTACTGGTGGGATTTACCATATGGCAGTTGACATATTGCAAATACACGAGGTAGAACTTGAGAGTGTGTCTGTTCGTGCCTCTTTAGATTTAGCAAGTGAGCTTTAAAATGCTGCAAACCTGAAACTTTAGGTAAGGTAAAGGATGTCCTGAAAGTATCTAGTTTTGAATTCTTCTTACTAACTTTCTTATGGATTCCTTCCAAACTGGTATTTGTCCTCTGTGGTCCAATGAAACCGTTCTCATCAGTGGCCACTTGATTTTTCATACTGTCAATCTCCTTCATACCCCTGGGATTTTATGACCCTGCTCCCCTTCTCTTGGTTCTTTTTATATAGTTCCAGTTACTGTTTTAGCATGTGTTTTGGTGATTACACCTCCACATGCTTCTTTTCTCACTGAGACTCTTAGATTTCTCTTATCTGTTGTTCCATCCATTTCTTTCCGAACAGATCACCCTTTGACTTCCTTCTCACCCTTTGACAAATTCAGCTACATCCCTATGCCAATGATTTTCCAACAAATATTCTGCACCCAAATACCCTGAGATAGCATTCTTCCATAATGGGAAAATAAACCTGTGACTACACCCTTACTTGTCACCTTCCATCTCACACTGGAACCAGTATGGGACATTATTAAACCACTGCAACCCATACTCAATGGGGGCCATAGCTTAAAATAAATCTTTCCCAACCCCGACTCACTGCCTTCAAAGAATCCACCCAAACTCATCATCAGAAGCAAGCTTCCCACAGATTTTAACCCACCAACTCATCAGAAGCAGATCCTGCCAGAACAATAGATGCAAAACTTGCAAACATATGTCCATTGCTACAATGATAAATACCACCACAATACACCTTTCAAGATCTATGGATCCTACATAAGCCTATCACAATGCGGTACTGCATCCGGCACACAAAATGCCCCAATAATAACTGTGTGGGTGAGACAAGACAATAGCTATGCTCTTAAATGAACTCATGCAGCACAGAAAAAATATTTCTTTAAATCATCCAGGGGGAAACAATTTTCGTGAGGCTGTCACTCCATATCGGACCTCTTGGTCCTTTGTCTTCAAAGGAAACTTACACAATATGTTCATAAGATCAGCTAAAATTCATAGCTCTGCTTGACATTAAAACCATGGTCTTATCACAACTATTTGTAACCTGCCGATTCTCCTTTTCCCTGTTTTTTGTCCTTTGGCTGTGGTGGCATTAACAGGACCCTTAATCTTGAATGATCTCTGAAGAATAAGATATGTTACTACTTATGGTAAACAGTCTGTTCCAAATGTATTTAGTTGTGACAAAGGAGTCAGGTTTACACTAGCATTTATGTCAACAAAACGTGAAAGAAACACACTCCTGAATAGCATACGTTTTGCTGGCAAAAGCCTTCAGATGAACAGTGTTGTGTCAGTGGGAGATGCTCTCGCACTGACATAGCTACCCCTGCTCGTTGGGCTGGTTTCAAGGGAGTCGATGGCCTCGCTGGACCCCTGTGCTATCAGGACTGCAGCCTTCTCCCACCTCCCTGTGCTGCCTTGAGTGCACTGTGGCAGCCCAAAGAGCTACCTGGAGCATGCCACACGGCACTCCTGCAGCAATTTAAAGGGCCTGGGGTTCTGGGTGCCACTGCAGGACCCAGGACAATTGCCTCCTTTGACCCTCCCATCAGCTGGCCTGTCTGACTTTATCATGTCAAAAGAACTCTTGCCCATTGGCATAATGCCACTACACAACCTCTTATACAATGACACATATGTATTAATACAGCTGTAAGAATGTAAAGTGTAGACATAGCCTTGGAGTTCCTTACCTTACCATACCTGAAGAAGCTCTCTGTAGTTCAAAAGCTTGTCTTTTTTCACCAACAAAAATTGTTCTAATAAAAATATTCCCTCACCTACCTCATCATTCTGTATTCTCAGCCACTACACAACCTCTTATACAATGACACATATGTATTAATACAGCTGTAAGAATGTAAAGTGTAGACATAGCCTTGGAGTTCCTTACCTTACCATACCTGAAGAAGCTCTCTGTAGTTCAAAAGCTTGTCTTTTTTCACCAACAAAAATTGTTCTAATAAAAATATTCCCTCACCTACCTCATCATTCTGTATTCTCATTTAACACGATAGGTACGTTTCAGAAAATGATCGTGCTAAGTGAAAACGTGTTATGCGGGGTCAGTTTTCCCATTGAAAATAATGGAAAACATGGGGGTTGCGTTTCAAACACACGTGCGCTCGCCGCTCCAGCCTGCACTTGTTAGCAGCTGGGACCAGGACATAAGGTTGGGGTAGAAAGAGGACTGGGTTATAGCAGGGATGGGAGGTGTTTGGCTCTGGAGAAGGGAAGGGAAGGACAGGGGAGGTGGTTTGCAGCCAGCAGCTGATTTTCCCTGGCTGCAAAGCAGCAGAGGTTCGCCACTCGCCGTGCCGTTCCCCGGCGACCCCCTCTGGCCAGATGCCTTGCATCTGGCAAGGAGGAGTCACTGGGGAACAGCGCAGTGAGCAGCGAACCTCCGTCGCTTTGTAAGGAGGCAGGAGAAGCCGCCAGCTGTAAACGGGGAGAAGAGGAGAGGGAGCGAAGCATCCAGCCAGAGGGAGTCACCGGGGAACGGCACGGTGAGCGGCAAACCTCTGCCGCTTTGTAAGGAGGCAGGGGAAGCCCCATGCGGCTGCTGGCGACCAGCCGGCCGGTAGGGGAAATCGTGTTATTGTGGGGACAGGTCGCGTTGTTCGAAAAATGTTCCCTTAAAAAAAAATTGTGCTATCACAAAAACGTGTTAAGCGGGCACGTGTTAAGCGAAGAATTAGTGTATTTTAAAAGTCATTTGCAAAGAAACAATATGGGCTCATTACATTTTTCTTGCTCCTTTGGAATGTATAAAAATACCTGAAGAGTATGTTTCAAAAGTTGTTTCTCATAGATTGTGAGGCCCAGCAGGACCACTGATCATCTAGTCAGACCTACTCTATAATGCACCCTATAGGACATCCCTGACTTAATGCCAGTTTGAATTACAACATGTCTTTTATGAAAACAACAGTTTTTATTTATTTAAAAATATCTAGTGAGAGAGAATCCAGCACAGCCCCTGGCAATTTGTTCCAATGGTTGATTACTGCACTGTTAAAAATGTACACATTAATTCCAATCTGAATTTGTTTAGCTTCAGCTTCTAACCACTGGATCTTGTTATCCCTTTGTCTGCCTGATTAAAGAGCCCATCATAATATTTTTCGTTCCTCATGTAGGTACTTATAGACTTTGTTAAACTAAACATGTTTAGCTTCTTGAGTATGTCACTATAAAACATGGTTTCCAGTCCTTGAATCATTGTCTCTTTGACCCTCTCCAAATTGTCAACATTCTTTCTGAAATGTTGACATCAAAACTGGACACAATATTCTAATAGCAATAGCCACGTGCCAAATACAAAGGTAAAATAATCCCTCTGTTATGTGAGAAGCAGCCTGCCAATGTAGACACTCCTTTTCCGGAAAAACTGAAAACGGAATAGTATTCTGTTTTAAGCAGTTCCGGAAATTCATGCCAGTGTAGACACAGCCTATGTGAATAACGGTATCTGGCCTGGATTGCACAGGAGGTCAGCCTAGGTGATCATTATGGTCCTGTCTGTTCTTAAAATCTGTTAGTTGACTAGAAAATGGTAAGGTGGCAAGTCTCTCAGAGGCTGG